ACGGTAGCCTTTGAAGAACAGAACACGCTCAGTCCTTTTGAAACGCAGCTGCCGTGGGAGGGGAAATGTTATACAACACCCAAGCAGTTACAGCACCTGCCAAGTTTTGTGATCCAGCTCTCAGGGTTAGCTCTGTCTCTTTTCTCATGATTATGGAACAAAATTTAAAACTAGTCTGTTGAATAGACTTAAATCCAGAGCAACTTGCTCCCCCGCTTCCAGAGTGCCGCTGACATTAGGTTACAACATGTTTCCTCCTGCCTCTGAACATGAATTTTCTGTTTTGTGAAATCTGTGAGGACACGGAGGGGAACTTTGCCCCTAGCTCCCTTCTCACCTTCCTCCAGCCTAGACATTGGCCTGGTGATTAACATACGGTCATGGGAAGGAAGAGACATTGATATGAATGAGGACACACCTGAATCCCATTTTCCTGCTTGTCCAACAAGTCTAACCACTATGTTAACCACTGAATCATCAGCAACCTGGTTTTGAATAACAGTGTTCATTGCTACTCTGGTTTGTTTTGTTCGTGGTTTTTGGGTTTTTTTTTAAAAGGCATTATGCCAGTATTCACATTGGACCTGTCCCTCATACGGCTTAGATGACACCTCAACTCCTTGCTGATTGGTTTGAATCCCTAGTCACACATACCAGAACTGTAATTGCTAAGAAATCCTTCAGATAAATAAGAGCATGCCTACGGAGTTAAAGTAGTTCTATGATTATGCAGCTGCTCAGGAAGGTTGGTTGAACTTCTTTTGTTGCCAAACTTTGATGGACCAAGTCATAGGTCCATATATAAATAATTATATGTGACCTTAAATGTACATACTTCACATGGTATCAAAAATATTGAAAAAAAAAAAAAAACTGAGAAAACAGTGCATTACTATGAATCGTTATAGTTTGCAGATCAGTGTCTCAAGTTGTGATCAGAACTTATGTTCACCACTTCTAATAGCATTCAAGAGCTTTTGTTTGGGACCTAAATAGACCAGGCACTACAAACAAAGCATGCAAATGAACATTCTCTTCTTCCTTATAGACAGAATAAAAGCAGTCCAAATGTTAATAAAAGTGGTTAGTGGGCTTACATAAGAGAAAAAAATAAAATGTCCTCTGACATTGATAATTAATGTAATTTTTAAATTCTCACAATGATAATTAATTTTTAAATTCCCATATTGATCTAAATTTCGCAATTTTATTTATTTTTTAAAACTAAATCCACATGGGAAAGAAACCAGATATTGTTTTAAATTAATTTGAATCTTGTATATACACACACTAGTCCTGATTACTCAAGCTGTGCCTTTTGCATATTCAAATTACAAAACACTTTCAACAGCATTCTGTACAGTATTGCTCATTTCCAAGGACATGATTATCATCTGAACATATGGAAAAGAGGAAAATAGTTATTTTACCTAATAACTATACTTATGTATACAATTTACTCAACTTTATAGGTACCATGTGAAAACTCTTTCCATTTATTTAATTTCTCATTTTACAGCATTTCCTCTACATTCTTTCAGTTGAAGTGATTTTCCTCTTTTTGACAGTCCTTTGAAGCAGAGCTTTGGTGACTTATTCTCTCAAGTTTTAGAAAGAATATTTCTCTTTCTGCCAACTGTTCCATGCTCCTGCCATGCCTTCCTCACAGCTGTTCTGCCAGTCTCCCGGGTGCTTCATCTCCCTACCTCTGCAGCTTAGCAGCTCAGAACTCCACAGAGCTGCTCAGAGAAACAAAGCACCTGACAGAAAATGCAAAAGCACAACAAGCAACTCCAGCATTAGGCATAAAAAAAATAATTTAAAAAAGTGACTAAGTGATACAACTTCTACTCCTGTACAGCTTCTGTGATCTACATGACATGAATCCCAGCGCTGACTCACTCAGAAAAAGAAAAAATTTAAAACCCCCCAACCTCTATTCACAGTTTCTGACTTTGTAATAAACTCTGGCTGAAACAGCTACTTTGAAAGAACCAATACACATTTAAACCACCTTTTCTTCCTCAGCTCTTCTGTGCTACTTCTGTCCTCTTACTATTGTGAGACAGACTATACCAGATGACAGCAAATTACATACCAAACACCTTATCCTATTATGCTCTTGCCTTCTTCCCCTGCTTGCCCTCCAGAGTTCTTCTATTTTAGACCTATTGCAAAGATCTCACATCCAGCTGTGCCACACTAGCACTACCCAAAATAATCCACCTTTAATCTCCCAAGATCCCTCTTGACCCAGCTAATGACAGAAGTGGTGGTGCAAGCAAGAGCAGGTACAATTTGGAGATTATGAGAGCACAGTATCACCATGGAGCTACCCCCAAATGCCTATGGGTTGAGAGATTTCATGTGATGACAGTAGCCAAGGTAAAGAAGGGTGAGGTGCTTTAATTACGCCACCATTTGGCTGTCAAATAAGGTATTTTCCAACTCCAAGGCAACCGTTTTAAGAAGCAAATTATGCATTTTAATATACTGAGATACATTAAAATAGAAAAAAAATGCAAAAACACGAGAGTGCATGGAAATTCAGTATGTCTTGCAAACTGGAAATAAAACACGTACTTACATGTGATTAAAAACTTCAAAATTCTAATATTATTTAATAAAAAGAAATTGCATTACTTTAATCAAATATTGAAAAATTTGAATGGAAACTGACAAGGGAAATTACCATATTTTTCAATTAATTGAAAACAAGAAATTAAATTATATAATTTAATTAAGTTTTTTAATTATTTACTAAAAAGTTCCTTTTGGTACTGTAATTCCATATCAATTATATCTGGAAAAAAACACTTAAATATTTATATTTTACTACCACTAGGCTAGGAAAAATAAGATTATATAATTTAAAAAAAATTTTAAAAACACAAAAAAACCAGCAATCAAATAACTACTAAACTTTACAGCAAAAAGAAATCATAGATAGAAATGTTTTTCTACTAATTTTTCATCTATTAGGAATATATTTTTAAGAGGACAAGGAGCTTTTTCCAGAAGTACTAGAATTCAGTCCTCATACATAACAAAGTAATAGACTAATGACCTTAAACTATTACAGGTATAAAAAAATCTTGTGTTCTTATTAATTTGGAAACTTAAAAAAAATGAGATGGAATAATGTAATAATGGATTGGGGAAAAGTATTGCATTAATCTATATCATTCCTTAATGCTACACAATATATCATAATTAATTGTTCTCACAAAATATTGCCTATTACATTTTATAGTTCTGATGAGTCAATATTACTAAGCAGGAATAAAATAACAATAAATACAGGTCCAGATTATAGTGACTTACCAAGGAGAAAACTCGGTTTATGATAAATATTTTTAAAACTCATTTATAGTTATAAGTGACTGTATAATAATCAATTCTTCCCCTTCCTCCCTGCTACTTTTCAGGTCAAGTTTAGTACATCCACTATGACACGTAGTACTAAAAAAATGATGATCCATTTTTCATCCAGAACCTGATGCACCGTGTGAATTTAAAAGCTTCAGTACACACTTGCAGACAAGTTGCTGCAGGAAAGGTGCCAGCTAGAAACTCACCTACCCGGTCAGGGGCTAAAAGGTCTGATTATCAACTTCCTTAGTTACCTGTTGCATAAGCTTCCCCTGGGCTAGGGACAAACAAGAGTGCCCAGGGCCTGTGGCACTGGAATTCCTGCCGTGCAGGTTTCACCGTGTCCATTACTCTGCTGGTACTTGCACAGTGACCCGTCAGAAAGATGCCTCGCTTTGATTTATTTTTGGTACTAGATAGACTGAATTTCAAAATAAGAAAGTCTTCTTTCGAGAAAAGGAAGGCAAGGCAATCAAATTATTAGGAGAAAAGACTTTTTAGTGAGATTTGATTATGTCCAGTGGCTACAGGAATGTTTTGCAAGCTTAGTAAAAGTACTCAGAAAAAAATGCAGACCTATTGGGGGGGGGGGGGGGGGGGGGGGGGGGAAGCATACAAGTTGAAAGATATCAAGGAGCTAAACGTAAAGAATGAGGTTAACTATCTATAGATTGCACCAGTTTACTGAAATAAAGAATAACACAAGTTCCAAATTTTGTCATTGGAGAAACAGCTTGCAATTGCATGGCAGAACTGGGATAAAAGCATCCTACACAGATGCCTATAGAACCTCTGAGTTTATACCTCTGAGTCCATACTCTCCTATGCCTACACTATGCCTGAGGCTAACAATGGACAATAATGTCTACAGGTAAATACATTTAAATACGACCAAGACCCTTCCCTGTGCCACACTGAAACCACCAGGAAACAGACCCCTGGCAGCCTGGGCATCCCATCGGCCAGACCAACACAGCTGGACTGACACCCCCTCAGCTGGGTCGACGCTGGAACCAGGACTGACGACCTCTTTTCCATCTTCTTTAATTCATCTTTCCCTCTTTAATTCCTCTCTTCCCTTTCACCTTGCCCCTTTATCCAAAACCCACTGCCGTGTGCTTATACAGTAGGGCAGGGAATACCTACTAATTTCTTTGCCAAGTGTGCAATTCACTGATGAAACTTTATGGTTGTTGGCGACCCCTCTGACTTTTGTGGTTCCTTTCGACCAACGATCATTTACGAATCTCAGGCGATTCTTTCTCTTTAAGGGTGGGTCTTCACAGTGGTGCAACAGAGGATTCAAAAACTCATTTTCACAATTTAGTGGGGGATCTAAGTGTTTTTCGCAACTTCCTTCACCTGCAGTGATAATTCCCTCTGTTCCCCGTATCAAAACAAAACAAAAAGTAGATAATCAGCGTTTGAGAGAACTTTCAATCAAAAGAAACACAGCACCGCTCTCTGAGGCGCCCCTCGGCCGGCGCGCTCTCCTCCCCGCTGCCGAAGGGCCCGCTCCGAGCGCCGCTCGCCATTGGCTGCCGAATATTGCCGAGTGCTCTCGTGCTCCTCCGGCGCGGTGCCGGAGGCGGCGGGGAGGGGAGCGAACGGCGCGAGCACGGCGCGGTGCATTGTGGGGCGGGAGAGGAGAGTCACTGCTCAGCCAAGGCCGCCATCTTGGCTGCGTCCGGACTCGCTCCCGCTCCCGGGGCCTGTTCCTTTTTCTCGCAGCGCAAAGAGGTGAACAGGCAGAAGACGAAGGGCCCGCCAGGGTGGTGCTGATGCGCGCAGAGCCTCCTCGTACCTCTCCCGAGCGCCGCTAGCAAAGGGGGCGGGGGTGGTCGAGCGGTCGCCGGCGCGGCCTCTTCTCTCCTCTGCCGGGATGGGTCGGTCCCGCAGCCGGAGCTCGTCCCGCTCCAAGCACACCAAGAGCTCCAAGCACAACAAGAAGAACCGGAGCCGATCGCGGTCCCGCTCCCGAGAGAAGGAGCGGGCAAGGAAGCGCTCCAAGTCCCGGGAGAGCAAGCGGAACCGGCGCCGGGAGTCCCGCTCCCGCTCGCGCTCTAATACGGCCCCCTCCTCCCGGCGCGACCGGGACCGGGACCGCGACCGCGCCTCCTCCCCCCCCGACCGTATCGACATCTTCGGGCGCACGGTGAGCAAGCGCAGCAGTCTGGATGAGAAACAGAAGCGGGAGGAGGAGGAGAAAAAAGCGGAGTTCGAGCGGCAGCGGAAAATGTGAGGCCCGGGCCTGCGCTGGGGACGAGGGGGGTGGTGAGGGATGGGGGAGGAAGGGAAGTGCTCGCTGCCTCTCTCTCCGCGCCATCTCTCTGTGGGCTAGGGCCGCCTGCGGCTGGCTGCAGGCCTTTAGGCCCTGGCTGAGGCCGGACCAGTGTCTCTTTTCCCGCCATCCGCCCCTTTCTCAAAGCCCGGCTCCCTCAGGTGCGTTAGGAGCTGCCCACTCGGGTGCGAGCCGCCCGCACGCCTCCTCCCTCTCGGCCGGCTCTGCCCGCTCCCCGTCCGCCGTCGCTGGTTTCTCCCTCCTGCGCTGCTCCTAAACTTCCCTGTGCGGCGGAGGCCTCGGCGCTCCTGAGGCTTTGTGCTGCACTGCCACACGCCCGCCCCTCCCCTTCGTGGCGTGGAGCTTGTTACGCGTCGAGCGGAGGCATCTGGAGGTGCTCGAGTGAGGGTTTCAAGAAACTATGCAGCCGTTCTATTAACAGTGTGGGATTGCTTTCTTGCCAAATGGGACGGTGAGATCCGGTGACTTGGTTCATTTGAAACCTTGCCCTTTTTTCAGTTTGTTATGTTTATGGGGAGTATGGTTATTTATGAAGTCTGCAGATCTAAATAGTATTTTAATAAATAATAGGGATGCATTAATGTGTTTAGCAGCATATAAAGTTATAAAACAGACCTTTATGCAGCAAAGAGAAGAATGATTTGTAATCAGGTGATTTTTTTCCTTTGAACACTACCCTTGCTCGTTAGACCACCTTATCCAGAAAAAGCACTTGTTTGTACATATGAAGCCAAGTGGTGCTGTTAATTCTCAGGTGGAGCTTTATTTAAGCATAACGTTCTCAGGAAATAGTAGTTGTCATTGTCGGGCTTGGTGAGCCCAAGCTGTCACTTTCATTTTCCTTTGAAGATAATCACCTTTGCTAACTTCAGAGTTTTGACAGTCAAAAAGTTCCACAGTAACACAAACATGTGAAAACTGACATATTTTGACATATTGATCCTAGTTTTGTGGTTTAGAATTTCATTCATTACCTAAATTAAGAAAAATATTCTGTGCATATCTACAATGAAGAACTGGAATGTGCTTAAAAATTTGAGAATAGAATAAATAGTTTAGTATTTAGGAGTGGGTTCATGTGTAAGTAAATTTTCTATGTAAGTTAACTTTGAAATTTTAAAAAGCTCATGAAGTCTGTATAGAAGGAATATGATATTTCAGCAATACTTGCTACAGAATAGTAGACATTTGAGGAAGAACCAGTTTTGAAAAAGATTTGGTATGGAATTTTGATACTTCTACAATACACTTTAAATTATAAAAAGAAAAAGCAATGAAACTTTGAGTAGAAAAGTATGGTATTTGAGTAAGTCATCTGTAAATTGTGTTACGTATGTTAGTATAGATTCATGTTAGATAAGAAAAAAAGTGCTTCCTTTCTGACTGAGTCCATTAGTGGACAGTTTCTAGATTGGATCTGACTTTCTTCTTTTCATGTCTTGTTCAAATCTCAATACCCAGCTTAACTTCAGCCCTTTCCTGTAGTGCTCATTTCCTTGCCTTGCAGGTATGACTTTTTTCCCCTCAGAAATTTGGTAAAATGTAAGTTGTTTCTTTTCTGCAGGTTTCATACAATTACTCTTTAAGAAGTAAATGGATCATACAAAAAAATAGTTTTTTACGTTAGTGACTTATCTGTTGCTCTGGAATCATAACTCTGTAGGCCAGGATGATAAAATTATAAAATACTGTAAGTTCATGTGATTTAAAAAAAAAAAATAGTTGGTATGCTGCAGAATGAATCACTGAGATTTATATCTGTGTTTTTAATTTTATTTTTTTAATAAGGTCTAAGCTGTTGTAATATCATTGCCTATAAGTCTAAAAATACATTTGATTCATTTAATTAAATTTGAATGGAGTTTGTTGGAGTAAGAAGAATGGAATGCACAGTGCTTAATTTGAGTGCATCATCAATTGCTGAGGATATTTGAAAGTCTATTTCAGACATGAATGCAGTGGTATTTTTGTAACTATGCACTCTTTATTCAATTAGCTAACTTTTTTCCTAGATTTCCTGATGTTAAATGTAAAGCTATGATAGTTTAATAAAACATGAGAACATGAACTTAATGACAGTTTATTTCTCTGGAACTCTAGCCTCTTATGTATACTAAGCAGTATTGGTTCAGGATGGTAAGAGTACTCGCTGCTGTATAAAAGGGAAGGGAAACCTTTTAAAATAAAGTCATATTTATTTGAGTGGGGTTGATGCATTTTTCTGGGAGTGGTCTAGGTTTTTTGTTTGCCTTACATTGGGCTTTTTTTTTCTGAAAGAAATCACTTCAAGATATTTTGTGTCCATTTTGGAAAAATTAATGCTGGTCTAATGTGCCTCCAGCTAAATTTGCTATGTCTTGAGGATTGTAAGACTAAAATTGGTATTTTCTGGCCAAATGATTGAGTTGAGGATTCCAAAGCTTTCTACTGAAGGAGATGCACTTAGTTCAGTAAGTGTAGTAGATCCATGTGGCTCGGTAGTTTTGAAAAGGTGGCAGATGACATGGGGAAATGGAGAGCCTTTCAGGTTTCTATTTCCCGTGGTTATCTAGATAAGTAATCCATACTTCACATCTCCTATTGCATATTTGCAAGTTGTGCCTTGGGTCATCTAAAAGTTGGTAAATGATGTAACTTTTTTTTTTTTAATTAGTTTTTTTTTCAAATAAAATAGATTAGGAAATATTTTCCAAATGAGATAGGAAAATGCAATCATTCTGAAAATGACAGGCTATTAAGATACTACAACACTAGTTGTTCTTCTAAATCTTGGATTTGTGTTGCTGACAGGCCAGAACAGAAGAAAAGTTTCATAAGATTGTTCTGTATTTCATGGAATATTTGAAACGGAAGTTCAATATCAAGTTTAAAACCAAGAGTCTTCTCCCCAAAGCCCATAATAACTCCAGATGAATTGTACTACATGAAATATAGAGTATTCACTGTTGTTCATTCATCCTTGGATATCTAATTGCCATGTTGCACTTGTGATTACTGCCTGGAGTTTTTTCTGTGTGTGGTAATTAACCGGCAAATTTACCTGATTTTTGTATCCTTTTTAATGAAAAATTAAAACAGTGATCTGGCTGAGTGATAATACTGCTGCTCAACTAAAATAAAGACAAGACATTTTAAAATATTTCCAAATTTCAGAACATGATAAGCTGCAGTTTGCAAGGATTTATTTAGTGCTTGGTATTGATATAGTTTATTTTTGATCATTATGGTAGAAACAAGAGTCCTGCAATTAAAAAAAAAAAAAAAAATTAAGAGCTGAAGTTATTGAAATTTTTTAAGGTAGGTGATTGGATAACACCTGGAATTCTAGGTAAAATCACAAATTTGAAATCACAAATTTTATTTCTTCTGTTTTAAGATACTGGAGATAGTTTGGTGCCTCTAAGGTGATGGCTTTAAGGCAAGGTTTTACAGGATATTATTGCTTTATGTGACTTAAAATTGAGACCATATAAACTCCTGAAGGGTAAATGATGGGTCTCACCCAAAAGAGTTGGGTGAGATTTGTATTTTTTGAAGGAGGGGGTGGCATGGTGTTGTAATTGTTGGTTTGGGTTGGGTTTTTTCTTCCCCCCCAGCTGTGATCGAGAAGTACTATGATAAGTTGTCCTCATTTTAGTCTGTTGTTATATAGAAAGATACTAAATATGGAATGGTCTGAATGGATTCCCTGTTATAGGAACACTGCCTGAATATTCACTTTCTTTAAATGTAGGGCAAAATATTCATTGAATACATAATCTGTGTGTAAAAGTTATTTAGTAGCATAGCTGATGCTGTGTGTTGAAGGAGTGTGTTTCAGTGCCAATGTTATTGATTAAAAATGTAATCCTCATGTTTGCATTTTGCAGTCGTCAACAAGAAATTGAAGAGAAACTCATAGAGGAAGAAACTGCTCGAAGGGTGGAAGAACTTGTAGCTAAACGCGTAGAAGAAGAGTTGGAGAAAAGAAAGGATGAGATTGAGCGAGAGGTTCTCCGCAGGGTGGAGGAGGCTAAGCGCATCATGGAAAAACAGTTGCTCGAAGAACTCGAGCGACAGCGACAAGCTGAACTTGCAGCACAAAAAGCCAGAGAGGTAACGCTCGGTCGTTTGGAAAGTAGAGACAGTCCATGGCAAAACTTTCAGTGTCGGTTTGTGCCTCCTGTTCGGTTCAGAAAGAGATGGAATACAGCAAATCTAATTCCCTTCTCATATAAACTTGCATTGCTGCGAAACTTAATTTCTAGCCTATTCAGAGGAGCTCACTGATATTTAAACAGTTACTCTCCTAAAACCTGAACAAGGATACTTGATTCGTAATGGAACTGACCTACATATATTTCAGAATTGGTTGAAACTTTTGCCATGGCTGCAGGATTTATCAGCAGTCCTTTCATTTTGGGGAAGGGTATTTAAAAAATGTAATTATGTATCCTTCATTTGTTTCATTTTGTTTACCTAGACTGTAAGAGGCTTTTGCCTTCAGCCAGGCAAAAAGCAGGGTCCAGCAGTGAGCTGCAGTACCTGTCTTTAACAAATAGGTTTCTTATTCTTCATTTTAAATGAACATTTTCCTTGAGCATACATTGGACTAATTCTGGGACTTCGAGCATAAGCCCATCCACGTCTTCACGAAGGATCTCTGTCCAAATCATTATATCCATTTTTAATAACTACTAACAACTCCTTTTTTTCTCCCTAGAAGTTATAAAAGAGCAGGTTGCCCTTGTCTGAAGTCAAGCTGAACGTGTGACTTGGGTTTTTGGGCCTTTTTTTGTTGTTTTGTTTTGTTTTTTAATCAGCAGCTGGAGCAGAAGCTGAAAATGTCTTTCTGTGAGACAGTAATTTGCTACTAAAGGCTCTGATGCCTGCCTGCACCAATCATTCCAGGATGCAGAAATTTCAAGACAAACTTCAAACCATAGAGAAAATTTGTGCTAAATAGTCATAATAGTCATTTTTTCACTCTCTACATCTTACACAGTTTATTTTTAATTAATATTTTGATTGGCTTGCGAAAGGAGAGACAGTAGCAATGCAGCTTTCCCCTTCATACTAGATGTGACTTGTCAGTCACATAGTATCAAATTAAATGGAAACAAATGGAATGCTGAGTTACAATAAATACTAAAAAGAATAAATAAATTATACTTTTCTTGCAAATTTAGACTTTGATATTAGAGTTTCAGTTGAATTTACATGTTTATAGTCTAGCAAATTCTTCATATGTAGAGGTTTTCATTTGATCAGATGAATGACTTGTTTTTTTAAAAAAAGTATTTTTGGTATCATTGTCATGTGAAGTCCCACCAGTTCCTTGTAATGCAGAATGAACCTCCATGCCTGGAGTGAAGTGTGCTAGCTAGTAGCTGGTTACTAGTCATAGTAAGAAGTTTTCATATGCTTGCTTTGTTCGTATTAACTTTTTTTTCTTACACAGACACAAACCTCTGGCTAACTTTAAATCCTCCAAATATAAAAATAATTTGGATATATATTATGTGAACTGAAACACTTCAAAATTTTTCACGCAGTCTTCATATTTGAGTTGCATAACAGAGTTCCATAAAATTCACCAAGAAAACAACAATTACAAGGCTTTATTTCCTGATCTTGCCTTCCCTGGACTCCTGAATTCCAAGTTCATACTGCAGACAGTTTCAGCTGTCTTAAAATTGTCAAAATACTGAATGTTAAGTCCATTCTCCCCATGAAAGAAGCCCATAGCTCCATGAAGTATGGATTACCATTTGTATTTTTCACTAACAGTAAATGTATTTTTCTTATTAACTGTTTGCCTTAGGAATGATTTACATATTTTTGTTCCTTCTTACCATAAACATCTGCATTCCTCAGCTCAGCCTTCCTTGTATGTTGTTTCTTTATAAATGGTTGAGCTGCTGATGCAGGTATTGCCAAGCTAACAGTACAAATCATTTTAAAGAGGAAGCTGGCGCGTATGGCAGCCGAGGAGCACACTCTGCAGGACACTGGACAAGACAGTAAATATTCAACTTTTAATGCTGATTAAAGGAGTATAGGTAAAGAATACGTAGGTATACTTAATTGGTGAGACAAACTATTCACTTTATTTATATTTTCTATATTACTTTTTAATTTGGTAAATACTATCCAGTTTTTGTAGTTGTCCTTGTTGATTTGTGTGATATTAAAATTCTAGTAATAAATTGTCAGGATTCTATGATTAGGGAGGGTTTAGTTGGTTGCTGTTTGGACTGGGCGGGATGATTTAAATTGAGTGCTAGAAACCAGTTTTAGTGGCTGCACAGTTTACCGTTGTGAGGCAAAATAGGTGGCTGTAAAGCTGCCGCTTTAATTCAGTTCACAAAAGAATTCTGAGAAAGATTAGTGAACATGCAGAAATGAATATTTTACTTTACTAACATCTTGCCCTGTCCTCCCCTTTAGGAAGAAGAGCGTGCAAAGCGTGAGGAACTAGAGCGAATACTAGAAGAGAATAATCGAAAAATTGCAGAAGCACAAGCTAAACTGGTATGTGAAGGTGTAGGTAACTGTTCTGTAGGGAAATACAGGTGTCTCTGCCAGATTTGCAACACAACTAAAATAAACAAATCAGCCTTTTCTTGAGTGTTGGTGGTTCCATCAGTAAGATTGTTCTGCTTTCCCTGAGCATAAAAAAACAGATCCTTAGCAGTAACACTAGGCTGGTAAAATAGTTCAGATGCAGTTAATTTAGAGGGGAGATAGCTGCATTCAGAATTTTAAAAGTATGTTTTAACTATATCTCATGGGGAGGGTTGAAGTAAGTTTGCCAACATGTTCAGCTTTGTGTGACTAATTCTGTTTTTTTGAGTGGGACAAGTACAAACTAGATTTGATTCTAGTATAATGTTGGTGTAGAAGTGCTGAAAGGGACTTTCAGCATAAGCTTAAGATGTGTAAGCTAGGAAAGTCTAACTTACGTTGGTCTTCTTAAGCCCTTTTAAATCAGGTGCTTACCACATGAAAACATTCAATATAATTTAGCTGATTCTAATCAATTGATAAGACAAACTAAGCTGCTTCTAAATCCTGATTGAACTCTGTCAGTTTCAATTGCCCAAGTAATTACACCTCTTTCATATAAAAATAAGGCTTCTTAAATCTTTTTGCTTGAACTACATCTGCTTTAGATTTTTTTCTGTTTTACCCTTTTCTCAACCTCTTATGGCAGAAACAGTACAAATGGAAAATTTAAAGTATTGACTGATGTAATGAACTAAATAAGCACCTTTAGAAGACCACTGGGAGGGCTGTAATAACCATAGGTCAATGTAAGGATTGACTAGTGGCAAATCAAGTGAAGATGATTTTGGATTAGGAGGGGTTTTTAGATGGGTTTTGGAGCAGGGAGACTAGGCCTGAAGGTATGTGACTTCATTATATGTGTTTGTTACTTCAGCTTACATGTGACAAGTGCTGGAACAATTTCTGTATATATCTAATGTCTTCCTTAATTAAAATATAACCTGTTGTTTGCAAAGCAATGCTGAAAAACTTGGCATGTAAGCACTCCAGATTTTGATACACTACCTGTAGAAAGTTCTCAGTGTTTCTTTTAAACTCAATTCAAATAACCGTTTTATAAATGGTTTCACTGAAACCAACTATGGCACCCAGCTCGGGTGGAACATACTTACATACTTATGCAGGATTCGACCTGTTTGGATGTTAATATGGACTTGTAAATTGCTTTTATGACTACAAAATACGGTGGCCTAAACTCTTTACCATTTTCCTATATAGGCTGAAGAACAATTGAAAATTGTTGAAGAACAAAGAAAGATTCATGAGGAGAGGATGAAACTAGAACAAGAAAGACAGCGTCAGCAAAAGGAAGAGCAAAAAATTATCCTGGGCAAAGGAAAGTCTAGGCCAAAATTGTCCTTCTCCCTAAAAAGCCAGGATTAAATTTCAACTCTGAACTCTTAAAAGACAAAAAAGAAACAAACAAAAACCAACAAAAAAAGGAAAACAAACAAAAACTTTGTATGGTAGCTTCATGTTGAAGTGTTTTTGTTTTTTTTTTCTTTCTCTCAAATTTTTTTTTGTCTTTTTTGAAAGTTGGAAAGTTAGCTTGTTCTAATAGGGGCTGTGCTCTGCAATTCTTATTTTTTTTAAACTTCCATTAAGTTAAACCCTTATCAGATCATCATTGCCTTTTGGAGGATAATCTGTTTTCATCAATTTTGTTTCTGTATTGGTGTTCTGAAGCAACTCATGTCACTTTATGAACTGTGGATGATCTGATAAGGTTTTACTGACCTACTCATCAGAGTTTGACTCTGATAATTGACAGAACTTTTTACTGGGTATTGCTGACTTTTAATGTTTTTATTTTAAAGTCAGTAAATACATGAGTAAATTGCCATAGTATTACTGGACCTCTGTGGTTTATTGTTAAATCAGTGTCCTATGATACTGTCCCGTTGTTGCGCTTGATGTTCCTGATACAGGTAAGGAAATAGTTTGTCATTTCTGCTATGAATACATAGAGAGAGTTCAGTATTGTCTCTGTTAGATTTGTTTTTATTACATTGACAGCATTCAACCAGCGTTCCCCATTGTGTAAATAAACCAATTTGCTGAATAAAGTGAAAGTCTTAAATTCATATGTTTAAGTAAATTTTTTTAGTACACTTCTATAAACAGCTATAAGAGTGGCAATTCCCATTATTAAATTCAAGACTATAGTGATATTTTTTTAAATTTTGCTTTAAACTGTTGTGGCTTCTACTTAAAATGCAAAATCACAAATAGTAAAAAAATCCCTGCAGTTGTGAATGTTATTGATGGCTGCTGCTTTTTTTATGAATGTTGGTTTTTATTCTGACAGAGACTTATTTCAGCTGTAGTATCATGTTTAAACGGCTGTTTGGCTTACTGCACCCAGACCGATACTTCCGATATCTAAACCCCCTCAGTTCACCTCATAATATATTGTATACGTTAAGGTCATTACCATATAATGAATCTGATGGATCCTAAAGGATTTAAAAATGAAAGTTTTTTCTCCCAAAGGACTGAACTGGCTAGTATATTTGAACTGAAAAACAGAAAGTGAGGTTCTGTCTAAATATATTGCTTTAGCCAGAAAGCAACTGTTATACAGATCTTGAATATTATCCATTTATATATACAGGTTTTATTTTGAAAAATGAAACTACAGATTGAAAACTATATATATAAAGTCCCCATTTTTGTATGTAATTCCTCTACTAAAATCTAGATTACTATAGCTTGTCCAGTTCTAAAACTTCCTTTTTCCTGTCAGTGTGCAACATCTGTAGTAACCATAAAATGACAATTACCAGTAGTTGCCTGAGCATTTCAATGTCACTGGACAAAGTTGGGAGTAGTTCCTGATATGCCCAAAGGGTCTGTTTCTGTAGATTTAGCAAATTAAATTTGGGAGCAAATTTAATGTGCCACTGAAAGCAGTATTCAACCAGCTTTCTCTGAAACTGGGGCTTGGGGCCAGATTGATGTGTATCGCTTCGTCCAGTATGTCAAGAAAATGTGAAGATGGTAAAATACCTACACTATTACTGTACTTAAATTTGTCTATATATTGTATGACAGAAGAAGGTTGAAAGTTGCTTAATGCATAAAAACAAAAGCTGAAGCCAAATAAATCATGTACATGACCTGTTGGCAGGAGCAGGCTGTATTTAAAGATCAATTGATACCTGTATTTCTAAAGCAGAAAACATCCCCTGTTCCCTTATGAGAAACAAGCTATTAAAAGTCAATACTCAAAACAGACCTATGCAGTTTTGTTTCCTCTTCTAAAAGCGAGAAGCTAAGAAATCATACATACAGCTGTGGTATCAAGCGTTTTGTTCTGCATCACATAATGTGCTGCTAAATAGCAACGTTTGTTCTTTGCATTTAACATTGTGTAGGCTTAAATGTTACCAGGTTATTTTCAGTCCCACCTCTAGGATTATCTTTTGGACAAAATGCCCATTCCTAATGAGATTGTCCCTCTTGCCATTATACATTTCACTTCCTGTTTCTCTTTCCCCTGCCCTCCAATTAAAAAAAAAAAAAAAAAGAAGAAGAAAAGCAGTTAGGTCTTTGCTTTGGTTTGGTTTGATTTCTTCTGTTAGGGTAGGAGTTCAGTTGTGGAACCTGCTGTCTCTTTGCTGTCCTAAGGCATTCTCTGTGTCTTAGATTTTTGTAGACCTGCTGTGGGTGAATGTTATGTTTGCATTGCTGTAGGGTTTTCTTTTTAAAATTATTGTAAGACTTCAGAGATACTGTTGATTTCTAGAAAAAATATAAATGCATATAGTTTGGAAAGGGGGCAAGTTGACATTTGATGGTAAGAACTTGGGATATTCTTGTATTCCCGTAGGACTTCACACCCTTTTAACGTAAAGTATGCAGGAGCATAGACTGAAGTGTAGTCAGTTTATGGTTTAAACCATGAGCTCCCTGCATTTGTCTGCATACAGAAAATGCTGTTGGTGATTGTGTTCAGTGTTTAATTTTTATTTTATTGCAGTCTGAAGTTTGAACTTCAAATTTTGGTTAGACAAGTTTTAGGTTGTTCTGGAATTTTGTATGTCATTGACCACCCCAGGAAGGCAGGTAGGCATTTTTGTTGCCACCTACCTTGAGCAGTATTCATTTCCCTTATATGGTAACAGAAGAGATCTTAGTTTTCCCAAACTTGTTCATAAATGTCCTGGATAATTATTTTAATATGAAACAGTGCATCTGTCTGGCAAAGGTAGGAGCGTGGAAGGCCTTAGAACAGCATGTTAAACATGTGCTCTTACTTTGCTGATTTGATAAACTGCCCTTTGAACTTTGCGTGTTCATTTATCATCATTTTTCTAAGCTCAAGTGGAAACTTGACTCCTGAGAAATGTATTGGCAGGATGGCATCCTCGCAGCTTAGCAAAGCAGAGACAATTACGTTAGTGAGATGTCTAAACTGCCAAGCAACTGCATTCGTATGTATAATCTCACCAAAGTATCAACAGTTCATCCATTCCTGTCTTGTGTTGAAAAAGAAGGATTTACCTTTGGTGTCTCCTTTTTTCTTGGGATATGTGCCACCTCATACACCTCACCCTATCTATTGTCCTTCCTGACCTGAAGCTGATATCGCCCTCTTTGCGATGTTATTAACACGCTCTCAGGCTTGAGTTTCTGCCATTTTTTGCATGTACACCAAATATGGAGATATTGGTTATTACTCACTTTTAACTGCATGCAGTGTTTCATTAAACATTCTCAGAGCATTTGGGGTCTTAGCTCTGTCATTGCAAGGTCTCAGCTTGGTGCAAGTGCAGGTGAAATTCAAGTCAATAAACACCTTCCAGGTTGTGTTACAGAGGGGGTTTATTTCAGAAGAGAGCTGCGGAGAGCTCCTGTGTGCCTAAGGCTCATTCCAAGGCAGGAGGATATGGTTGAAGTGCCCAGGTTGGTATGGTTTCGGACTGACGGGCCAGACTAGTAGGAGCTGAACCATGACTTTCATGCATCTCTGTTCCATTCTCATGCTGGTATTGCCACGTGTGCATTTCATGGTTATCCCACTCTTTCCATCCCACTATTTTGTTAGCCTGCTGAGCTTCTGTTGACATTTCCATACTAAACAACCTCATGTTTACAATCGTCTTCCATGGACTGACACTTAGAATCAAGCGTTATGGCTAGCTCAGCATCAGCTCTGCTCAAAAGGACATAGATCCCCTTTGACAATGTTGTGTTGCAGAAGCTTTATTATCCCAGGTCATTTTTCCTACTCCTCATATCACAGACCGTAGAATAATGGAAATATTTTTGTTTTCAAGGAGTGCTACAGAGAATCAGCATAAGTCAAGTCAAACAGAGTTAAAATACATGGTTCAGATGTATGAACATCTCTGATTTTTATTACAAGGCTGCTTGAATTCTATAGCTGTATCTGGGAGAAGCCAAGCTCATTTCCTAAGCTATGTTGACCAAAACTACAGTCCTAAAACAGACCTGGTGAAGACAAATTAATATCTACACGTGTACTTACGTGCACTTTACCATAAGTGCAGAAAATGCACTGTTGCAGTGTGAATGATGTATTAAGAGCTGTTGCAGGTATGTGGCACACTTGGCCCTTTGTACAAACGATAAACAATTCATTTAAGTGAATGAGCATCAGTCATGATCATTTCTCTTTATTGAATTTAGCAGTAATTGTATGCATTGTGTTACATCTCTTTGACTTTCAAAACTGGTACATTTTCATATAATAATGAATTATGGTGAGCTTTTCCACTTCAAAAATTTCATGTTTAGGCTGATGTTTAAGAGAGAATCAGGGATTGTGGGCCCAATCCTGTTCCCATTCAGATTAGCTGTCCTTCATTATAGATTTTGTAGTACCAGAGCCCGTATCTACATTATTATTGCCGACATCACTGTTGGAAAGAAGGTGAAGGAGGTTATTCAGTGATTAACAGATTTATTTTTTTTTTTTTTTTTAAGCCAGTGTGAGGTACAGGAATAAAGGTTTAAGCGGCACAAACAGCAAAGTCCCAGTGTTTCAGTGAAGGTGAGGGATAGGCAGGTCTCACCTGCTCCTGGCAGCGCTCATACACCCATCCGTCCATTTGTGCGTCCATCCCCGTCCGCCGAGCCGGGCCGCCCGGGCGCCGTGGGACAGCGGCGCCGCTCCCCAGGCCGCGGCAGGATTTCCCCCAGAAGCCTGTTCCCTGTGCGTTCGTCTGTCAGGAAACCGCGCTCCTTGCAAAACCCGAAATGTCTGCCGGGACCTCCTCCTGAAATAGCCCCCAGAGAAGCGGCGGCCGATTTCTAACTTCCGAGCACTCGTCGGCTTTTTTGCTTTGAAACCCCCGTCCCCAGCCTTTACTCTCACGTTTCTCCCGTGTCCGAGGCGCTTCTCGGAGGCGAGACGGAAAGGTTGGAGGCTGATGCAGCGGGCGCAGGGGTCGGGACCAGGGAAGGATTGCGGCCGCAGCGCCGCTGCCCAGGGGCTCCGCGCCGCCGCAGCCCCTCCGAGCGCCGCCTGCCCCGCCCGGCCTCGGCCCCCGCCTCCCGGCCCGGCCCTGCTCGGAACCGCAAGTAACTGCGGCTCTGGAAGGGCCCTGCGGCCCGAGCCAACCGCAGGGACCGGATCCTCGGCCAAAAAGGGTGACCTGAGCAGAGTAGCCACCGAGCCCGCGTTCCTTTGGATATCTTAATCTTTGTTGATTAGGTTATCTCGGAAGCAAGCACGCAGTTTTGTCTTTTTTTTTACTGAAAAAAATTATTTTATTAACGTGGATTTTTATACTCTTACAGCGTGCATCGGTAGGATGCTGGACAGTAGAGTAAAACAGCTGTATTTGCGTAAAAATGATTAGGCACTGGACAATAGGAGCCGTGTGATATATTTAGCTACAAGAGGATATTTTCAGACAATACCAGGGCTCTTCATTTCCTCTGGTTTACTTAAAGCAAGGATACGAAGAGTTAGAGGTCACAGTTTACTCACCACTTCAACAAAACACCGCTCGTAACCTTTTGCTTCTAAACAAACAGAAGCAGCAGCATCACAAAATTGAGGTAGACCTATTTTACACGTCTCTGTTGCTGGAAGCATTTATCAGGCTCCGTGTTTACATTGCCTCACGACCGGCTACACACCACACATTTGTTTAAAAGTTTAATAATTAAGTACTTTCCTCCCTCACTGCTGAAGTTCTCCTTTGATGCCCCTCGGTGTGCATAGATACCTAAGCTCCCACTTGAGTGCTAAGTTTCCGTCCCGGGAATCAGATCCTTTTCCACCAAATTGCGTCGCCGGATCTGCAATTCCTTCCTCACTGCAAATTAAATTTAATTAAGCAGTTTACTTAAAACGTATTCGATGTTTTGTGTGAAAAGCAAACTGATTTCCTTGTTTTCTTGAGTGGTAGATTTCATTAGAGAACTACCGAACACAATTAACTCAAAATCTATGAGGCTTCGAGCGCGCTTCCAATTTCTTTCTGTTGAGAGCGGGAGGAGCGGGCTCTGCCAGGCTGAAACACCCGTTTAGTTCAAAAGGGGTCGAAAGAGAACACTGGGTTCCAAAATTTATCCGGGAAATAAATTACAGTGTCAGTTGTTTTCCTTATAAGAGCTTCTTGGCGTTCGTCTAAAAGTCGGATGAGTACCATCACGAAGCCGATTTTTAAGCGAATACACATATTTTTTCAGGAATAAAATTATGCGAAATTGGCTCTTTATTAGGGTTTTTGGTAGGATGTTCTTTGCATGCCTCGATTAATCGGTAGGGAAATGGCAGAAAAGAGCGCGGTATTTTACTGGGATTTAACTTTTAATCCTTTCTGCAGATACTATTTTGGCAAGAAATCCCTACTGGAAGAAATTCGGTAACCCCCTTAATTTCACAGGAGCGACTGTGCCATTTACACCACCCCTGTCTAGCCTCGGTACAGCTCTTGTCGCAGACCCCTCGCGTGTGCCGCCTCCCCAGCCCGGTACCACCTCCCGGGCAGCGCTACCGCCGACCCGTTCGGCTTTTGCCGGTGACTTTTGCGGTGGAACCGTGTGGGCGCCGGAGCGGGCAGGACGCGGGGGAGCGGCGGAGGGGGACAGCCGCGGGGGACCGCTCCCCCTGCGGACGGCAGCCGCTGGCCGCTAGTGGGAGCTGTGGCCCCGTGGAAGTGCCGCGGGAGCCGCGGCGTGTCGGGCTCCGAGCGCGGCGTCGGGAGCACCCGCGACCCCCCGGCGCCCTCCGCACCCCCCGGGGGACCTGCGAGGCCGCGGGGAAAGCATCTCCAGTACTGCCCGCTCATAGCTCCCTCTGGCCAGAAATTAATGATACAGTGAAATAAAATGGCAAGGTGTCGTGCCGTTGGGATACGCGGCGTCTGAAAACGAACTGTGTCGGAATCCCCTCCCCACAAAAATCTAGAGGGGAAGAAAGAGTCCCTGACCAATCGCCAGAAAAAGGCGAGGGAATCCTCAGCCGGCCCCGGAGTCCCGCATTGCCCGCCGTTCTGCATCCCTCTGAAGGGCTCCGCATGTCCGACTCTTCTTTACTCAGTGACGGCCCGTGGCTAATTGTCGCGCAACCAGATAAACTTAGAAAACTCACAGAAGCCGTGGGAAGGGCCGGTGGGAACCTAGAGCGGAAGCACCTCCGGGCCTCCCTCCTAGCAAGGAACCCGCAGAAAGTTGTGCACGGAGCTCCGCGCCAGTGGGAACACGGCCCGGCCCTTTGCCGCGCCGCAGCCGCGCTCCCCCGGGGTGCTGCACTCGCAGCGGCAGGCAAGGTGAGGGGGAGCCCCGTGCCTCCCCGCCCTGCCGCTGCCCTCCGCTCTTTGAACGGCAGCGTACTCGGGAAACAGTTTTAGCAAAGGCTGGTCTTTAATGCTTATTTAATTTCATTTTTTTCCCCTGATTTCGCTCCATCTGGGCCCTCCGCGCCTCCCGCACAGCCCCGGTGTGAGTCAGAGCGAGTGGACTCTCCCCGCACGCCGGGCAGCGGCCGCCTGCGGCGCGGCGCGGCGGGGCTTGGGGGGTGTTACCTGCCGGCCCGCTCGGCCGGGCTCGGCGCGGCCCCGCCCGCCGCTCGGCGGTAAGTGACAGGCGCGGCGCCCAACCAGCGCGGCGGCCCGCCGGCGGCCCTATGAGCGGCGGCGGCGGGGCAGCGGGGCCGCGCTTATATGGCTACGGCAGCGCGCTGCCGCCGGCCGCGCTCCTGCGCCGGGGACTCGCAGCGGCGGCATCGGAGGTTGGAATCGCCGCACTGGGGACGACAGTGGCTGGCGCCGCTTCTTATCCCTCGCTCCATTCCTTCTCCTCCGCGGCGGGTTGCGCGTCGGCGCAAGTCCCGAGCCCGTCGTTCCTCCTCAGTCAGCCGCCGCGGCGCGCACTGCAGGTCGCGCAACGGGAGAGGGACGATTTGACGCTGCGACCCCCCCGCCCCCCCGTTTTGGTTTATTTTATTTTTTATTTTTGTAATCATTATTGTCCGTCCCTGTTTCTTTCCTTGCTCCGCTCCGTGGTCTTTGCCGGCGACAAGGACAGCAGTGCCCCTCGGGGAAGCCGGAGCCCTGCGGATGCGTCTCCCCGGGACTGGGGGAGCTGACTCGGAGTGGATTTATTGACTCGCGGTTGCTTCCGAGCTGCCCGAAAGAGCCCGAGCTGGTGCCCGTGCGGATTGCAAACTGCGGGGAGCAGTGAGAGACATACAGGAGGAGCCGCGCGCCGAAGCTGTGTCCTTTTCCCCCTGACCCTTTTATTTCTCCCGCCACCCTTTATTTTACCTCTTTTTAATTTATTTTTTGTTTTACTCCTTTTCACGCGGGCCTTAGACACTGTGAACGCGTATGGCGCTCTGGATCCAAATGGGAGTTGGCAGTTTGAGTGGCATCTTCCAAGGCAGCCGGGAGACCCCCACTAAGAGGAAGGACTAAGGCGTTTGCTTTCTTTTTTTTTTTTTTTTTTTTTTTTTTTTTTTTTTTTTTTCTATTGCTTTTACTTCGGAGGTAGCTTGGATCTGACCTCAGAGGAGATATTCCTACATGCGAGTGGCATACATGACTCAGTAGATCTGCTTGCACCTCTCGCCAAGTGCATCGTCGACTCTTACTGATTTTTTAAATTTTTTTTTATTATCCTTTTTTTCCTATCAATCATCCCGGCTGTTGGGATACCGGGCACCCACCCTGCTGTTGCCGCTCAGGTGCGTGGGAAGGCGCACGGCGGAGTTGGCGAGGCTCCGGGGAGGGACTCGGTGCCGCCTGCGACCATGGCAGCGCGGAGGCGAGATGCCTCCGCCTGGAAGTACTGCTGGGGAGCCGTGATGGTTTTATGCAGAACTGCACTGGCGCGGTCCATCGTTTTAGACCCCATATATTGGAATTCCTCTAACCCCAAGTAAGTTTCCATCCCGCTCCCGCCCGCCGTTTCCCCGGGGACCGGCGCTGTCCTCCGTGCGCGGGGGAGGGACGGGACGCTGCCGCAGGTCGGCCGCGGCCGCCGGGAGACACGGGGACGGGGCGGAGTGCACTAGCGGTGAGCGGCCGGGACTCCGGCCGTGGCCGGCAGCGGGATCCGGCTCTTCCCGGGGCGGGTTTTTCGTGTGACGGCGGAGCTGCCCCGTGCCCCCGGCGGGAGGGTCTCGGGAGGGAGGACCCGGGCGGCGGACCGGTAGCGGGCTGGGGAGTGGTGCGGCGGTAGCAGGATAAAATCTGCGGGCAAAGTCCGGGCTCGCCCGGGCTGGAGCAGCGGAGGAGCCGGGCTGCGCTGAGTTGCCAGGAAAGGGTGATACTCTCCAACTTCTCCGTCTGCAGATGCAAACTCATCCCATTGACTCCAGCGAAGTTACATCTGCTTATAACAGGGCTAAATTTGGTTGTGGAGTTGATGGTATCAAGGCACATGTCAGTGAGTAATGAACTAAGCATTACCCATCACACAGCCATGTAGTGTCATTCTTCATTAACAAACCCAAGCGAAAATGTACATGTGTTCCCAGGACCTCACTTTTAAAACTCACTCTTAAAAGAGATGCATTGTCTTAAAAAAAAAAAAAAAAGGCAACATCCTTTTTACTTAAACTTACAAAATTATTGCTGTTAGAAAGAAGAACTTTTCAAAAAGTGGGCTGTTCTTCTAAAGAAAAGTCTGAGGCAGTGATGTGAAGCTACTTACACTTCTCTTTTGTCTCCTTGGATTTTTGACGTACAAAATGGAAGTTGGCTTTGTTCACTTGTAAGAGCCGCTGAACTTTTGTGATTAAAATCACTACTTTGGAGAACAAAAATCACGACAGGAAAAAGTAGACTCTAATGAGTTAAGGGAATTTTAAAGCAGAAATGGGTTAAAATAATTTTTTATATGCTTGCTCCATCTTCAGTTATATATGATTAAAATCATATGCAATGTGTTAATTGAATTTAGCGTTTCCCATTAACTCCAGTAAGTACATGTCTTGTTTTCCCGGGGGAGTTTGTAGAGGAAATGTTAGGTGGTGATGAGACAAGTATGAATGGAGTATTTCCTGGATCAGGGATTAATCCTGCGCAGGTGGCAGGATCTCTAGGAGTTTGGTGACGATTTCAAAGTTTGAATTAGAAGTAGCATCTCAAGTTTACCAAAGTACCTTGTCTTACAGCCATCATCTACTGTTGCTTTCACTAAATGAAAAAATCACTATCGATTTCTGCCTGCATTATTTTTTAATACTTGCTCTGTTTCTCTTTACCGAGAAGTTTCCTAATCTTTCTTAAAGAAAAAGAACTAAAAAAAAGAGAAACTGGCAGGAGTGCGCTGGACTGCTCAATTTGGAGTCTTTTATTTGTAGTATTGATTGACAAATACTTATTTTGTATATGCATCAGGTGGGAAGCCTGTTAAAATTTACCTCCAGTCACTGGCTCAGCACTTCCATGATGTTGCACAGCTGAAGCCTTTCTTTGGCTTAAGAAAGGCACGGCGTCACTTCGGAGGATAAAGCGGCCTGGCCGGTTATAAAGCGAGCTTTATAAGGCTGTTTAGGCTCTCGAAAGGCAGAGGCTGAGAGCCGGGGTTGCATTGCAGGAGTGGGCCTGCTGTGCTGGTGGAAAACAGCATTGGCTCGGCCTAGGAGGAAGGGGAATGCTTTTGCATCCCAGGCCTCGCTGGGTTTATGCCTACAGAGGTCACTCTTCCAAAGCAGAAGAGCCGGCTGCTCGGAGCTCTCCTCTGCCAGCCCCAACCTGCTTTCGCTTCTTTTTTAACTTACCTTGATCGCTTTTATTAGCCATCAGTGAAACGAAAGCATCGGAGCAGCTGAATTCAGCCCATCTCACAGAGCCTGGGGATATGCTTCTTTTGTCAAACACGATTTGTGTTTCCATTTAGTTAATTCTAAACTGTTTGATTACAAAAAAGGTTTGAATGTTGTTAATGGTAGATCTAATGATAATATCTAATTACTTTTTCAACTTAAATGCACGCTTAAAAATAGGTTGTGTTGCTGATGTAATTGAATTTTCTTGAGTGATTCATTGAGGCTTAATCACCACAGTGAAGAAGTACACTATTAAAATTAGTCTTTTCAATTGCTGGGGCTAGTGATTTATAGGCCTCTTGGAGGCCTGGAGTTTGAGGAGGCTTGCAAATGCATTCCTGACACTGCTGCTGGTGAGGCAGCGCTACTTCTCCAAGCAGAATTTCTTACTAATTCTTCTCACACTTGTTTGCCTGAAGGATCCTGAATAATTTCTCCTTAGAGAAGGTTGTCCTCACTCTGGATTCAAGCTGAATGTTAGCTTGGGAAGTAATGCTGTTGAATAGATCTTGGCATGGTATAATAATAAAGCTCCTTTTTAGGTTTGAAATAATAACTGTCTTTGATGCTGGTTAATTTATTCAGGGAAGCTGTGCATTTAACTCAATTGAAAGTCTCAAAGCAAAAATCTGCTGAACAGGTAGGCAGTTAAAATGGGAGAAGTTGTTAGATTAATAGAAAGTATGAAATAATAAATTTTAGGTTAAGGTGAATGTATAAACTGAATTGGTTTTGCACTGAAGTCTAGAGGTTATAATTTCTACCAGGTGTCTGGAATGGAGACTGCGCAGTAGCTATTGGAGCACAGAGCTCCCCTCCCTGTTCCCCCCTTACCTTTTTAGAGATCTACTTTATTGCCTTGACCAAATCATGAGATTGAGGTGACCTCCATAAAATAATTACACCTGTGGCATTATTGCTTGGGAGGTTAAACATCGTTGTTGTAGATGGTCTTGGCATACTTTGTAGACTTATCACCTGAAGAACTTCTAGATCACCTGATCTTGAAAACACAGAGGAAAAATTACTCTAGGTTTAACTCCTGTTGACACTTTTTAATGGGAGACTTTCTGCTTGTGTTGTTTCTGCCAAGACAAGCAGTGTATGCAGATAGCATGGATTACCTCAGTTTCACCTCACCTTTGACACGCAGGACCACGTGTAATGTTATGCGGCACCTTTCAGTGAAGCAGTAAAGAAATCTCATTCAAAAAAGCATGGCTTATGTCTAGGCGTCACTATTTCCCTCCTTGCTATAGGCCAGCGATCAAGGCGGGTCTCCTTAGTGACATGTGGAAGGTTATCCTCATAAGTGGTGCCTTTGACACTGATTGAGTTAGATTATATAGCTGTTTTTCTCTCCCTCTGATAACCAGTTATATATGGGATATTTCACAGCCTGCCTCTGAATGAATGCTAACATGTCAGAAACTGATAAAATAAACTACAATTGATGACCCTGCTAAATGTTCTATTCAGTAGCGTATAGACTAGTCTGCTTCTCATTGTATCTGAAATTCTTATTTTTGTAGGTAAACAAATGCACATTCACTACCGATTGAATAGCCCCTTGAACTATGCTCTGCAGTTTGCATTTGGGTTAATCTTGTCGGTTTTAATGCAGAGGGGAAAAAAGGAGAAAGCACCAGGGGTGGAATTGTTAGTGCTTTCACATCCACATTCCTCACATTTTGTCAGGATGATAAACTGTAGGTAATGGACAGCCCTTGTTTCACAGGACAGGCAAGCCAGCCAGAGCACAAAGAGCTTGCTAAAACGATATCACACAACATGTTTGGGAGGCTCTCAGCTAGACAGGAATTTATTTGGGAGTCCTGTGCTGTGGGACTACGCTTTTTAACCTATGCAATTACAGCTTCAAGCTGAAGAAACGGGAGTGGAAGGTTAAAATTGTTTAAACACATGCTCCTAAATTGTACCCAAAACATAGCTGTTGACACTTGGCGTGCTAATAGATGGAGCAAGTGGTGGCTTCCAGTCAGTCCATTTGATAGTTCTAGCATTTGTCGCCAGGTCTCCAAAGCACAGGTGAATTAGCGAAATGAATTCAGAATAAACTGAAGGCCGATTTCTTGAGCTGGTTGTTTTCCCCAGCCTTTTATATGTAGAGTATAATTGCTATATTATTTATAGTAATTATGTTAAAGCATGTTATCTGTAAGCTGTGCTACGTTATTTCACTTTCTTTAATGAAGTAATTGCCTTTAGAAAGGCAGTGACTAAAAGTCGTGCTAAAATCGCTTAAGTTCTCCCTCTTCCCACACACGAGAATGCCTTCTTCTCCTGTTTTTTTTTCCTTCCCCTCCCTTTTTTTTTTTTTTTTTTCCCTCTTCTGTGTTTTATTGTAAGGAGATCACATTGCTTGAGGTGTGACACTCTGGATCCTCTCAAATTCGGCGCAGGTTCCTGGCACGGGGAATCAGGAGCTGAGGTGACTGCTCTGACATGCTGGCATAGACAGGCCTTTCAGCCCTGCGCAGCAGCCACAGGCAGGCCTCCTTTGGGGACCTTTTTTCCTTTATGAGCTGGTCTTCATGCATCGTGCAAACCTGCAGTACTTGAAATTGCTTGTTGCAAATGAGAAGAAAGTGTTCTTCTGAGAAAAAAAATAGTGATTAAAATGTTATTCATGTGTGCCTAATGTCTGTCTGCCTTGGCTGCTGACATAAAGAAACCTGTTTTTCTGGTCATTTATCATACATCTACATGGATTTGCTTATGAGCTCATTCTTTGTGAGGCGTTGTGGAAACTTACATAGGAATGTTAAACTGCTTGAAATATTTTGATTAAAATACTGAGTGCCACAGTACATAGACTTTTAACTAACACACTGTCTTGAGGGAGGGGAAGTTTTTTATGGGGTGGGGGGGTGGGGAAGGGAGCAGCAAGAGAGAAGAGTTTGGGGGGGAGTTGCATGAAAAAGCAGAGGAAGGGGAGGATGGCAAATGGACAGTGTTAGAGGAGCTTGGAAAAATCTCCTGTGGCTTCATTGTCTCCTTAAGGCCAGAGAACACAAAGACAAATGCAGTTCAGCCTTTCTCCCATGATGGAAAATGTAAACCGTTGACACAGCTCCCATGT